GCTTGGTGTTTGTGATCAGGAAGAAAAGCTGGGGGTCTCACTCCTCCAATTCTGGGGGTCTCACTCCTCCAATTCTGTATGAAGTAAAGGTTTGGTCCTGATTTTTTCCTGGGACCAAAAGCAGTCTGAGTAGTGGGGGCACCCTTGACATTTTATTCTGCATTAATGATGTTCTCTGAATTTATGCAACACCAGCATGGGCCAATGTGAAATGTACTAATTTATCAATTAAGATTTTGAAAAATGAGTGGAGAAATGATACTTACATACTTGTTTATTGCCCAATCTGTGCACATAAAGATTCTTCCTAATGTTTAGGCTCCATAACTTCCTGTTCAGGTCCAGCTACCCTCTCTTTATTGGTACTATCCTCTTTATTATCAAATGCATCTCATTTCTGGCTAATTTTATATCTGCTCTCTCAAGAAAAAGGCAACGGTGCTGTTATTACTCATGATGCAATGGTTCTTTGGAGCCTGTTTGTATTGAAAAAAAAATAGATCTTGCCTCAATAGTTCTCTATTACTATTTATTTAATTTAATACTGGTTATATCATTATTCATGATGATGCATCATCCATCATGTCACCATAAATTCTGGCTCCCAATGGCTCTCTTAATTTATCATTATTCTTCATTGATGGTAACCACAAATCCAAGTTTCTGGTCATCTTAAATTTACTATTATGCCTTCCTTAGCATAAACACATCTTCCAACTGTGTTTTCTCCTGAATTCTTAGACCATAAATGCTGCATTTATAGAATGTGATCTCTTTCATTGTTAACTGCACCTCAGCCTTCCACATATAGCCACCAACAGGGAGAATAGGTGAAGCAAGAAAAGCGATTCAATTTCTTGGAGGTATGTTTGGCAGGGCTCAGGACCAACCCAGGAGAGCACAATATGACTGCATTGACAGAGGCAAGAGAGGAGATCAACTGGATGGACCCAGGGGCATCAGAGAGCAACGGCCTCTAAAGCCCTTGAAAGAGATAGACATGTTCATCTGTGAAGACTGCATGACACTTGATGTAAAGTTTGTGGAGGAATTGGAGTGACCACCTTGGGTGCCAATGTCAGGGAGCATACTGGGTAAAGGATACCTGCCACTTTTGTGTCCTGTTGACAGAGGATGCCCTGTTGGAACACAGACAAGAAAGAGCTATCCACACATACAAACCATGCCAAAGGTCAGTCAGCAGCTCAAACCCCAAACTCACCTGTCTTGGTAAGTCACCCAAAACTCACTAGTCATAACCTCACTGAAGAATATAGGAGAAAATTGGAGCTGAACGAAGTAACCTTGAAAAATGATGTTTCAACTAGAAACTATAAAACTAAAGACAAAAGGAACTGTACATAAACCCTGTACTCTGGTTGTAAAATTGTTTCTCATGGAAGTACGGGTCAACAATTCCGAAACTCCTTCACATGTATCCTGGGGTTGAACGAATAAGTAAATAGATGGTAGAAGGTGGGAGTCAAGTTTTCACTGTCAAAGAAGGAAGTTACAAGTAAAAAAGGGGGAAAGACTTGAGCAAACACTTGAGCAGACTTGAGAAGAGTCAGAGACATCAGCATGAGTTCATATTTAGCCAGAAAGATGGACAGATAGATACAAAAATAATTACAGATATGTGTACATATATGAATTAGTATACAAACCTACATTTCTTAGCCTTGTTCCCTGAAACAGTCCAGAAGCGTGATACCTCATTATCAATGAGCACACCCAGTGCTCAGAATTTTGTTTCTAATCCTATTCTGTTTAGACAGAACCAGGACTCCTTGAAGAAATAGCAGTTTCCAGGTCTCAGGCTGGGAAAAATGCAAGATAAGCCTGGAACATCTCATAGTGCCAGAAGTTTAAGAAGCATTCAAAAAACAAAGTTTAGGGACATGTCAGGGGTACACAAACAACCAACTTGAGAACCCCCAAAAGCCAAAGCTGGAATGATTAAAGTCACAAAATAAATAAGATAGCATTGGTTTATAACCTAATGTATAAAGTAAATATACATGAGTTCATAGTGCTATAAATAATTGAATGAATGAATGAATGAATGAATGGAATGATGTGATGAATTTTTTTAAAAAAGGAATTGTGAATATATATGTTGATACTTCTCCTTCTAGGAGCTTCATCTCCTCTCACCCTCTCTGTGAGTGTGAGTTGGATTTAGTGACTTGCTTCCCAAATTAAATGTAGAAAGGGAAAAATAATTTTATGGTGCAGGACCTTGGCAAACACTACCTTAACCAAGTGCTAAATTTTAACATCCTGGTGATAAATCATGTGGATATCATGTATCTCTCGATAGAAAATGAGAACATGTCTCACACACACACACACACACACACACACACACACACACACACACACACACACACCCCAGTGCATTTGCACCATTCTGGTGGCCCAGTCTCCCCCATTGTATAGCAAAAGCCATACTGTGAAAGCCAGACAGCCAGAACAATGCACTTGCCAGGCTGTCGTCTCAGAACCACAGTGTGCTGTGGACTCCTGGACCACTCTTAGGTTCAAGTGACTGGTCAACTCTGGGAATCTGATTGACTCTGCAGGAAGTTGGGAAAGCTGGGCTCCAGGAGTCCTGCCTTTTGCAACATCTTTTTCCAAAAGTTTAACTCTGTCTTCAGTGTCTGGACTACAACACCATCCAGGCAAGGGTGCCCAGACATAGTCCCATGTGGGTCCAATTGTGTGGAAATGCCTTACTCAAACATTTTTAGGTCTGCCTCCAGGACCCTCAACAAGTACCCCATTTCCTTCCAGGCCCTCTCCAACCTTTGTGAGGATTGCAAAACTGTAGAATCTTCAGTCAACATAAGGCCAAAGTGGCAGTTAGGAAAGGGTAGGGGACAGTGTGGAAGGTAACATTCCAGATATGGACGGAGATTTTTTTAACTTGGTACAAAAATCTTTTGTAAACATCATACTTAAATTAAACTACAAAGCATTATAATTAGGGACAAAATAAACAAATTGTGCAATAGCATGTATAGTATGAAATTAATTCTATAAAAATTTTTAAAATACACAAACTAACAAGGTTATAAATGACTTTAAGTATGTAAATTCATAGACAATGGTCTGATATCAGTGTTTACCACTGGAACCAGGGAAAAGGAGCCCAATATTGAGATTAACATCTTAAGTTTTACAAGAAAATTTTACCCTCCAACTCTTGTACTTCCTCAATTCAATATACCTTAATCACTCCTTACTATACTTTTGTCCAGATCTCCTAATCCCCCTTTCCAAATTTGTTAAACGTTTTACAGTCTTCATGTATTGTCCTCCTAAACTATCTTAAATTTCTTCTAGAATCAATGTATTTTCCCCCATTCAATTAACTATTTTTATAATCATTTCTACTTTTTTTGTTCCTTATTTCTGAGTTCTAGTAGTAAGGAAAAGCCTTGTTTTATATGCCTTACCTATACCACAATCTTTATTCTTTTATTCAGAATTATCACAAGTTAAAATATTACTTTAAATGTTTATAATCCATAACCAGAAGAGTATCAATGTTTATTT